TATGACAGTATTACGATTGATTTTTGACCAAAAAGCTTCATTTCCATTAAATGTTTAAAGAAACATCAATTGGTAGCTATGTGGCTAAGTCCTTTTTAAGCTACAGAATGTGTATGGAATTAATTTCTTAAACACGGACAGACTTTCATTTAATAGTTCTGAATAAATTAACAATAAATATTTCTTCTGCCAATCGTCAAATCCTAACAAATGATAAAAAAATCTTACTAGATAATTTTCAAAAAATGATAATCAAGCGTCTGCTAATACTTGTCAATGGACGCTTATAAAATTTAGACGGAAAAACTGATGCAAAACGGAGAAATTTTTCTAACAATTCCCCAATCTATTAAAGTACACAAAATAGCAGACGTATTCAAATTGAGTTTCTAAATCAGGAATTCATGTAAATTTGCATGGCAACATAGTAAAACAAGGTCATTTGTATTAAATCAGCACCTCGAGTTCCACCGGATCCTCTTCGTCGTCCATGGTGGTGGTTATTTGATTAATCGAACTAGAATATGTTCCACTTAAAAGTGCCTTTTATTTTTAATCGAGGGCCAATTGAGGAGAATGAGTGTAAGTTCAATACTGATCGAATGAGTTTAATAAAATTATTATTATACGAGCCTCTTTTTTAGTAATGAAACTCTTATTTATGACAGACACAAAATAAGTTTGTTTAATAAAAAAAAGAACCATTTAGCACTGACGCATTTATTATACCGCTTGTTATAGGAAATATAAATTTTCTTTACTGTATACAGTTCCCTCCACAGGCACGAGTATCGGACCTGGGAAGAAAAATTATGACCAGTTTGATAATAAAACCTGTGTTCATCCTAAAAGTGTCAAAAACCAAAAAAAAAAAAAATGTAAATAATGACCTCCTTTAAAAATATACTATAAGTGAAGAGAAGGCCGGAAACTCCAGATTCGAGCCTACGAGCAAGGGATTCATTTCCCGGGCCGCTGTGAAGACAATTGGCCAGACAATTAAAAAAAACCTTTATCACTATTTCACGTTTGTATTAAGCTTCAAAATGAGACCAACCCCAAGTCTCTAGCCCTACCCGTTCATGAAATATCTATCAGGAAACGAGCGAATTCGTGCTAAAAATCCTTGGTAGACAAAATTGCGGCACAACAATTCGGTACGTGAGGTTGGTCTCATTTTGAAGCTTAATACAAACGTGAAAGAGTGATAAAGGTTTTTTTTATTTGTCTGGCCAATTGTTTTCACAGCGGCCTGGGAAATGAATCCCTTGCTCGTAGGCTCGAATCTGGAGTTTCCGGCCTTCTCTTAACTTATAGTATATTTTTAAAGGAGGTCATTATTTACATTTTTTTTTTGGTTTTTGACACTTTTAGGATGAACACAGGTTTTATTATCAAACTGGTCATAATTTTTCTTCCCAGGTCCGATACTCGTGCCTGTGGTTCCCTCCATAACATTCAACGTAAAACAAAATACTTAAGAGTCACTATTAGTCAAGACCTTTCAATGACCAAGCGTATAAACAATATTATATCTAAAGCAAATTACTCCCTTATATTCATTGGAAGAAACGTTAAAACACCAAATATAATCAAAGGGCTGCAAGCTCTGTGGTATTTTCTGATCTTTGCAATCTAAATCATACTGTATCCACACACTGCCAGTTTCCAATCACAACCACTTTTCAATCATCCCTAGAAATTCTTTATTTTTGGCCTTATTTGTCATGAAACAAATATGTAAGCATATCTTGTATTTACCTTGACTACATTTATCAGCAACAGTGTATATTATAGCGATGTCAGTCTGCAGAAATGGATATTAAGTTGGACCACTTCTTCACTATCATTAAGTCATAATGTATACTAAACTTCAAAAGCTATAATTTTGATATGTACATATCTTACCCCACAATTCTTAATGGGAAGGTAATGAGTCAATAAAGTAACATTCATTTAACCGAGGAAAAACATTCTCTCAGATAACGTTTCAGTAAGCTGTCACTAGAAGGGGGTCATGTAGACCCTAAGACCCCAAAATATTCACAAGAACATGCTTTTTCTGTTATGCAAATTGAGATGTACACCCAAACCCCAATTGTGACAGCTTTACTACTACAAATTGATATCAAGATTGAAAAATGACATCATACAATAGGTTAAAATTGTTAATACCATTTATTTGAAGTTGAGTTATTCAAAATTACTTTAAAATAATAAATTAGAATTTCCATTTAGGGTTTGTAATCCTTATTAATTTCGACGTTTTTTGTTCACGATATACCTGTTGTTTAACACTGATGTAAATAATTTAGCGAAAATCTTCTCGCCAAAACAGTCCGACATGTATATATTCCACTACTACACAGTCAGATTTATTTGTGTAATACGCTCTGAAGTCTTCAGTAATCGACATCACTAAAAATAGCATTTTGTTTACGTGGATAAAATTATCGGGTGTAGAAATTGAATAACGACCGTCGACTGCTCTAAATTCGTCCCTGTCCTAGAGTCAACATAATATCCTTACTTTATTTTTCAGAAAGTCTTAATACCAAATGTTCATTACGGGGGCGTTTAATTCCGATCACAATCCGAAGCTTTACGGAAATAGTCGAGGTATTTTCATTGATTAAAATTACATTAATCCGCGTAATTTGTGGAAAATTTTATAAGCCAATGCTACTTTTAAACTTAGAATGCATTGTAATTTGTTGGATACTTGTAACAAAATAAACATATTTCTTTCTTTTACATTGCTAGTTTTAAGCTGTTTTGAGAACTACTCATGTGTAAGGCACTGTGATCCAATATTGTCTGTGATAGTGTTATATAATAAGATTTATTTAAGAAAAAGGCATACTTTTATAAATATATTTCCTTTTTCAGCCAAAATCTTGACCAAAGCTAGTTAGATTAGCTTTATTTGTTTTTAGGCGGGGGGGGGGGGGTGTTTGGGTGCAGTTTTGTATTTTTTAGTTCGATGGATCCCATGTGAAATAAGTTTTTAGCTTAATGGGCTATCCATGGGTACATAGTTCATCTTATTATTTTTTATTTTTTTATGATATAAGTGTGCTCTTTTATGCTGTTATATACGATCTTATATATAGATATATATGTTTTTTCTTAACTGTTGATATTATTATTGTATCAGGTGCTATGTTCCTAAATGTATAGATAAATAAAAAAGCTGTAACCTACTTCTATAAAATCCAAAACAACATTGTCTTTGTTGACCAGCAACACCTTACTCAAACAAGAAATCTGAACTACCTGATACCCTATTCAAGGACACGATACCATTAAAATTCTTTCTTTCCTAGGAGCATACTACTCTCCTGCGCATCGGTCGAATGTTCCACTATCGCTCACTTTCTTAAGTAACGTGAGTGTATTCAGTAAGCTGCGAAGGGAGCGTAGTCATTGTAGTGCCAGAAGGTGATAATCGGCCCTGAAATGAATAATGCCCTCGGGGCCATTATTCATTTTGCGGGCCGATTATCACCTTCCGGCCCTACTCTGCCGTGTATTAATTTCTTATTAACTGGCTAACAGCATCATTAAACATGGGCAGACAATGTGTAAGGTATTCCAATGAAAAATGGTCTTGTGGGAGAATGGGTATTCATAATAATCGGCAGGTGTTTTAATTTTTCAGAAAGCATGGTAATGGAAATTTCGAGTTGGTCTTGTTATTTGTTTGAGGCAGTCTGGAAGGGAAATGGTAACTTTATTTTACAAGATGTGTTGAGGCATAATAAGGCGCTAATCTACGCATCTTTACTCTAGGCTCCTCCACTCTACAGAATCAAGCATGATTCAGACTCTTGATTTACGATTGTAGTCATGTTTGACCCAGCGGGCTTCACGATGCTACATTGACTCAATATGATGAATGACAGTATAACAAATAGACACTGGAACTGTATTCAAGCTGGAGTCGAACAAGACTAAGTGTCTTGTAGGCTGAATTTTTAAATGGTTCGCCTCTGGAAGCCTATTGTTTGGTCTGCTTTTTTAAATTGTTATCAATGTGAGTGTCTCAGGTTAGATTTTCTGACTATGTGAAACCAAGGTAACTGATTCTATGACGGTATTGGCGTTGATATTTGAGTTGGCCGTTTTGTAAGCTGAGTGACTTGACATTTTGATGGATTCAATTTTATATCCCATTTTGATTCCCATGTTTCAAGCTGATGTATACATGTCTTATTAAAGTGGTAGGAGTGAGAGGCTACAGTAACAGTAATATACACAGGTGTGTCGTCTGCAAAGTGATTAACGAAGTCATGAAGATTATTATATAAAATAAGAAACGAGTGTGGTTCAAGAACTGAGGCCTTGGGATCTGGATAGTCATTGACATAGAGCAGTTGACTGCTACTAATTACGGCCTATTGTCCAAGAAAGAATGAACCCATTTGAGAGTTACTCCCCTTTTACCATAGAAATGAAGCTTATAGAGGAGTTTTTCAAGGTTAACCATAGCTTTGAGAAGTCATATAGTATAAGATATGAAATTTAACAAGATGAACAAGGAAGGGTGGCATTCAATAAACGCATCTCCCAACACAGGACAACTGGCGATGAGCCCAACAGGACAGAAAACAGAACAGGGCACACCGGCAAATTTAGGAATTTTCATCTTTACTGTATTTGGCAAGTCAGATATACCGAGATATATCTTGCACTAGTGTAATTTGAAGAAGTTCATTGTAGAAACGACTTCAGTATCTGTAACCAGTTAACCACTAACAAATGTGGTGCTTTCGGAAATTTGTGTGCTATAATAATTTGTCTGTTTTATTATCAAAATTATTGTTATCTTTTTATTTGTTTGTTTTATTTATTTATGCAACATCGAAAAGAATATGTCAATAATTATCATTCTTGTGATCTTATTAGTCTGTTATTATCTGTTACGCTAAAAAGTGTTAAACTATACTGTAGAGATGTGTTAAATAAAATTATTAGTGGCATTAAACCTAAAGAAGGAAAATATTTACTGCTGTGCAACCTTTACTTACTTTTCTGATCATGTGACTTGTTCAAAATGGCGAATTACGAATGGTACCTCCCAGTTTTGCAATATTATTCAAGATACTCAATTTATCTTTTCGTTTAACATTTTTCATTTGTAAACTTGTATTCGTAGATTATATCCCTGCACTGCCACTTTCCCATCAGCTACCAGATTTTTCTACTATAACTGACAGTGAAATTATCCACATAGAATCTACTGCCAGTTTTCAATCACAACCACTTTTCAATCATCCCTAGAAATTCTTTATTTTTGACCTTATTTGTCATGTAACCAAATTGTAAGCACATCTTGCATTTACCTTGACTACATTTATCAGCAGCAATGTCAATTATGGCGATAAAAAAGAAAATACCAGTATTTTAGTTCAAAATATGTAAAATGTGTGTTTTCCACCAATCCTTTATTTACCAAGTTACAAATCGCAATAATTTTCGAAAAATATTTGATTTACAGACTCAGTTTTTTTGTCAGTCTGCAGAAATGGATATTTAGTTTGACAACTGTTTCAATATCATTAACTCATATTGTATACTGCACTTCAAAAGCAATAATTTTAATATGTACATATTTTACCATACAATTCTTAATTGGAAGGTAATATGTCAGTAAACTTGGTAAAGTAACAGTCACTTAACCAAGGAAAAACATTCTCTAAGATAATTTTTCAGTAAGCTGTCGCTAGAAGGGGGTCATATAGACCATAAAATCCTAAAAAATATTATTTTTAATTTTACTAACATTTTGAAAGATTTTCCAGAGGCATAGATAATATGTTTTACAAATCACTGTTTTTTCATAAGATGCTATTTCCTAACTGGTGTGTTCAGCCCTGTTCTACGTATAATCATCCATCCTACTTATAATCATCCATTTCACCACAAACTTTTGAGAGTGTTCAATTTCACTGTTGGAAATGAAATATGTGTCACCTTACTGCCATATTAATAGGGATGATTTTTTTGCATTAAACAATAAGTGAGGGTGACATAGCCAGCAATCAGTGCATATCAACAATATCCCTATTCTTCATATTTGAAGATAAAGTCTGCTGACAATTCAATTTGCCACATTCATTCATACATACATTTACAATTTTACATAATGATTTACATCTGTTTTTAACATAATATGCCAGCATCTTTAATAAAAGTTTTTATGCCACCGCAGCATCTGCGGGTGGCATATAGCGATTCACCTGTGTGTGTGTGTGTTTGTGTGTTATATAGATTATAAAGTGAACTTAAAAAATCTTCTTGTGAAAAACCACTTGTCCAATTTCAACCAAACTTGGCAGGATTGATCCTTGGGTGAAGGGCTTCCAAATTTGTTCAAAGAATTTAATTCCATGCAGAAATCTGGGTGCCATGGTAACCAAAAGGAATTATTAGAATATAGTAAAAAAATCTTCTTGTAAAGACCCACAAGGTCTAGAGCATAGATATTTTGCATAAATCATTGTCTGGTAGACCTCTACCAAGATTGTTCAAATTATAGCACTGGGGTCAAAATTGGCCCCGCCCCGGGGGTCATTGATTTTCACTATATGTACATATAGTAAAAACTTAAAATACCTTCTTGTCTGAAGGTACAAGGCTTAGAGCTTTGATATTTGGTATATGATATCATCTATAGGTACTCTACCAAAATTGTTCAAATTTTACCTCTAGCGTCAAAATTAGCCCCGCCCCGGGGGTCATAATTTTTCCTTATATATATAGTAAAAACTTAAAAAATCATCTTATTGAAATTGACAAAGGGTAGAGGTTAGATATTTGCATGAAACATTGTGTAGTGAACCTCTAGCAAGATTGTTCAAATTATAGCCCTGGGGTCAATATTGGCCCTGCCCCGGAGGTCATTGATTTTCATTATATGTACATGTAGTAAAAGCTTAAAATACCTTATTGTCTGAAGGTACAAGGCTTAGAGCTTTGATATTTGGTATATGATATCATCTATAGGTACTCTACCAAAGTTTTGCTTCTAGTGTCAAAATTAGCCCCGCCCCGGGGGTCATGGGTTTTCTTTACATGTATATAGTAAAAACTTTTAAAAAATCATCTTCTCTAATTGACAAAGGCTGGGGTAAGATATTTTGCATGAAACATTGTGTAGTGAACCTATAGCAAGATTGTTCAAATTATAGCCCTGGGGTCAAAATCGGCCCTGCCCCAGGGGTCATTGATTTTCAGTCACTATGTCATAAAGTAAAAAACCTTCTTGTCTGAAGGTACTAATCTGATAATAACAATTAGATAGGTCAGTGATCTAAGCATTATGGCAATCTTCAATTGTATAGAAACAAAAAATTATGTTCCTACATCACTATTTATTTTAGTGTTGTATAAATGCAGTGGCATAGCATTTTTCAAAAATGCAATCTTGTTTTTTTTTCCGGAATTATAAGATTTAACTTATTTTTGAAAACATTAGCTGTGTCTGTCCATTTATTATGTCTCTGTTCATGTGACATGTCCATCACAGTTGGCTTATTTAGCAAAACATGCTAATAGTTATATAGTATATACTTACTGATTAAAGTTACATTAAATAAATATGTTAAAATATTTTTGTCGTCGGCCTAAAAACCAAGCATTCTACAGTTTCATTAACCTTTTTAACAGTATCGTTGTAAATCTCATCAAATATTGTTCATAAATTAGGATTTTAAATGGAAAACTCCACGGTAACACTAAAGTTCGTATACGAATTTTAACATGCAAATGAAGACTATAATCAGCTCGTGTATGCGCTACGTCACGGAGTTATAGTTGCTATCCGGAACACAGCAAATATAAGATTTTCTTGTGCAAACACACTTTTACCGTTTAAGCTTCACAGTGCACTAGGCCTGTGGTTCAGAAAAAATAATCATCTCATGAAAAAGATTAAATTTGTATGAAAATATCCGTTACAATGCGGAAATATACCGTTAAATTAGGACTGCTACTTATAGTCATGTTTGTTGATTTAATATTGATGTACGGATGATCTGAAGGCGGAGTTTCTCATGCAAACAGAAATTGTACTTCCGAATTCGCCACAATGAGGTTGCACATTTGTATGCTCATTAAACTCATTTTGGTTGCCTGGACACCAAAATAAGATCTGGAGTCGATATGAAACCCAATTTATTAATGAAATGTCGCTATTTCTTTTTTTATGAAATTTATTTAATGTAACTTTAAATATCTGCATCCATCGCAGTAGTAAAATCAAACAAAATTTCTCCGTTTCATTTTAACATGCTAAGAAAAAATAATTTAAACAAATATATCAAATATTAAATTATTTTGGTAACTTATTTCAGATATGTAAATACATGTATTGGTTGAAAAAAAATGAAATAAAAGAAACAAATATGTGACAGTGTATATCATATACAACTGTATACATTTAGTAACTTATCTTTATTTTCACAATTCTATTTCCATTTCTTCTACAATAGAAATTATTTTAAAAGCTAAAAAAATATTTTTTAAAAATAATTCGACAAAACAATGCACACATGATTAAATTGATTTGATCAACAGACTCTTGAAAACTTTAGTCAAAGAGCAATTGAATTGTGATATTCAGACCCTACTGCGAGCCCTGCCAATTTAATTCCTTTTATGTTTTTATAAGTATCCACAGTAACATAAATAACATGGAAAATTGTTGTAATATGTTATGGTTAGAAAGATTAGATACACTTTAAAATCTGTGATTGTTAGCATGCATGATAAGGATTATTTATGTAACTATGCCCACACTGTTACAAATGTATACATTTGACTGCTTAAAAGGGATTTGTCTAAAGTTTGCACATTATCATCAAGAATTTCAAATTTTAAAATGTTAAAAGAGTTCTAAGTGATTTAGTATGAACATTTATATGAATTCAATAATAATATTTTGTTCTAGAACAACTTATTTATATCTGTTAACTTATAAAAGGATCATGTGTCTCACACTTACCAATAAGATCCTCGTAATTCTTTCATGGTTTGTACAATTTGGACCTGTACAATTTAATTTAAGCGTTTTAATATCAAAGTTTTAAAAAATGTCCCAATTTTAAGTAAGACTATATGAATGTGTTATGTTATTGTATCTTATGTAAATATTACAGGCAACCTAGAAAGAGAAATTATGAGCGCGAGACAGAGACTGAAAGACTGCCAACAACGGTCGCCTCTTCACATCCTCTGAAAGCCATAACAGTAAGTACATGTATACAGATACTGAAAGTTTACAGTCTTATTTAAAGGGACTGCACCGAGTTTGACTGGAAATATTTTTTCCACGATTTATGTACCATTTGATGTAGGTCTGGACCAGTAACATCTATGTATGTGCTAAATTTAAGATAACTTATCACACTGTTTTTCCAGAATAATATTTTTTCTGTGCAAAATGATCAAAAAATGAAAATCATTGCAATGCTTTTATCTCAAATCAGGTTAAAATCACATGCAAAAAAATGTTTTTTTTTTATTATCTTAATTTAAGTGCTTCAGTTCAATGATTTACAAAGTGTTTCAGATGAAAAAATACTAGAGCTGAAAAATAAAGTCATGAATATACAATGTAGAGTAGAATTTTATTGCCAGTTGTTAGGATTAAAACAACACACATTAAATGATTTATGTTATTTTAAAGGTATCTGAGATAAAACATGCAGACAAGAAAGGGTCAGCTGCGAGAAAGACACCAAACAAAGGATCAACACCTAGCAAGGGCTCAAGTATTATGTCAGATCCTCTTAGTTCACTCAGCGACATGGGTCCACTGAGTACAGCACTAGATGGCTTAGATCCATTGTCAGCCATGGCAGCTGAGGCCTCCAGGACAACCAAGAGTAGAGGATTAAGTTTTGGGGTAAGCAAATGATCTTTAGTTCATGTAATTGAATAGAAGCTTTTGTGATGATGGATGGCTCTAGACAACCTTCATGTAGTATTTCAGATATTAATAGCTGCCTAAAATGATAGAGTTCACTGTCTCTTGTGGGCTTGTGAATGACAGAGTTCATTAATTTTTGATGCTCATCTCATTAACACTATTGCATGGATCAATGAACAATTCATGAATCAAAATAGATGTATGAGGTCTATAATAAAATATTGTTTGTTTACCCTCATGCATTCTAAAAACAAGTTTTGTAGCATGCACATGATCATTTTTTTGGGGAATCCAATTATATAAAAGATATGTTCGATTACAAAAATATTAATTTTAATAATTGAACTACATAGAAAACTACCTACATAGTCAACCTTAACTGTCATTGGTCTCAGGAGTGGAGACAAAGTAATTATTAAGTCTTGCCTGATGCTAGATTTTATTATCTGGTTATACAGGAAAGTGGTACAAAAGTTCGAGCAGATTCTCTGGATGACTCATTTGAGCCTTGGTCAGCTAAGCGAGTAGATATTCTGTCCAAATATACTACATCAGAAAAACTATCAATTACCACAAGTTTTCTGTCATCTGCAGACAAGGAACATGGTATGATTATGATTAATTTTTACCTTAACAGGATTTAGATTTGAAAGTTTTGCATCTTTTAATCTTATGTGAAAATCTTTTGTGTAACTTAAATGTTTAGTCTTTCAAACTTTAACCTGCTGATTTTGTGTCATGGATTTGCCCTGCTTTGTAATTTGAACAATCAATTCAAAGTAAAAGGGATTATCAAGATACAAAAATTGAGCTCCTGACAGAAAAAGGCCTGGCCAGATTACTCCATACTCCATAAAGCTTATCACTTTTGGTTCCAGCTGGTTATAGGTTAAATTTTTTATTTTTAAGATAGATTTGTGATGTAAAAACTTAATTAAGCCAAATTTACAATGTTCATGTACATTGTATATAACGATTACTTTATGATCCAAATACTAACAGTTGAAGTACATACAGACAAATTCTTGAAGTATTTTATCTTTTTTACATTTTTGATTTCATTGTTCTACAAACCAATATTGTTATAAACTGTCAGCAGATATAATATACTTAGTACTGACATAGAGTGCATATTCTTTATTACAGTTGTAATAAAATCACAGAGTCAAACCACCACTGGTACAATGTCGGACAAAGTGAAAAACAGACTGGAACAATTAGATGACTTTGAAGAGGTAGGAAATATTTGTTGTAAATTAATTATCAATAAATATGAAGAGATAATTAGTGCTTGATATAATAAATTGGCCTAAAATTAATTTAAAACATATACATAAATTACTCTATTAAGATTTAAAATTTTGATTAAAATAATCTTTTTTTATGGAATTATGCTTAGATTTTTTATTTCATCTTAAAATATTTTAGTAATAATATTATTTAAAAAAAACAAAAACAAGTTAAAAATAAAAAATAATTAACTTAAATCTCAAGAAAAAACCAAATTTATTAAAATAAAAAGTATAGTAAAAATATTAAGATATATGGCGATAAAAAAAAAAAAAAAAAAAAAAAAAAAAAAAAAAAAAAAAAAAAGATTTAAAAAAAAAAAAAAAAAAAAAAAAAAAAAAAAAAAAAAAAAAAAAAAAAAAAAAAATAAAAAAAAAAAAAAAAAAAAAAAAAAAAAAAAAAAAAAAAAAAAAAAAAAAAAAAAAAAAAAAAAAAAAAAAATAATCAGCTCACCAAACTAAACCCACGTAAGACAAAGCCTTATATGTTTTTTATGACAAATTTAATACCAAAAATTATACTTCCCATGATATTTTCAAATTGATTTTCATAAGTAAAATAAAGAAAGATTGTAAATAAATTTCATTACCCTATTTTTTGTATCAAAACAGGGTTATGATAAGAGATGTTGAATTGAGTCAGAAAGAAGGAAATGTTTCCCGATAAAGATCTTAATCAGGCTCTTATGCAGCTTGGAGCAAGACCAGAGAGTAAAGGCTCTAAAAATAGCTATTCAGGTATGTCTCCTCTAATTGATCTATTGAAATATTAATTATTTTTGAGCATAAATATGATATGATACAACACTAAGACTTTTATTACTGATCTTGTTCTCCAAATATTGTGATTATTTATGGAAACTTAATTGTTAAAACAAATTTACTTTAGTTTGATTGTGTTGGAAGCTATAAGCTTATTGAAACACTCTCCAGTCTGTTCCTGGAATCAACAGTTACTAAGCAATGAGTGTAAATGTCTTGCTGATTTCTTGCCCCTGCTGGATTTGAAACCATGCAGCAAGCAATCCTTACGTTACTAGTTTGACATGTTAACTACTTGGCCATGCCGCCAATAAATTGATACATAAACAATGAAAAAGTTGAAACCTTCATTGCTTAGTACTGTCTGGTTCCAGGAATACCAGAGTGTTTCAGTAAAAGCTATCAAACTAAAATATATTTGTGTAAACTAAACTAAACTAAACATGGTTTGCATGAGTTTTGGTATTTCTGACTTAGATTTATCATAAGTTAAAAGTTACACATTATTTTACTAATTTAACTTTGAAGGCATGGTGAACTTATTAAACTTTCTGTCAATATTTTTGTGTAATTTTTATTTCTAGTGCTCAAAGTTGTTGGCTGATGTGAGTGTGATACAGTTCTACCCCAGCAAGTTCGTTCTTATAACAGATATACTTGATACATTTGGTGAGTAGTATTAAACAGAATCTTTTAACTGTATGCAACCAGATAAGCCAAAATAGTACAAGAATATGAAACTTGAGAAAAGTGTAGTAGGGTTAAAAAGAGGTAAAAAGATACAAGATTCAAGTAATAATTTACATGATATGTGCGATTATTGACTCATTTAGAAGTATTTATCACCGTATTTCTACTGCATTACTGACCAAGTATGGGCAATTTTTGCATATTTTTGACCTTGTTTTATGGTTATTTACTTGGATTGTAGGTGCTGTTTACAATGTGTAAATTACTTGCTTTGTTCTCTTCACAATATTTTACTATTAGATACATTTTCAAAATTTTAATGAAAATTAGCATGAATCTGGAGGTGTGCTGCTTTAATCAAACTCTATTAATATTATTACACCTTGACTAAGTTTTTTTAGAAGTAAAATAAATTTTATGTTTATTTTTGTCAGTGCTGGTTATTTATTGTCTGGTACAAAACATTTAGAATATAAGTATTACTGAATAATAATTTACTGTGGAAGGCATAAGGAAGTTAGTTTAAGATTTCTGTCTTTGCATTTTCACAGAATCAGTAAAACAGATTAATGTCAGTTTGGACAAGTCAGTTTAGGACATTGTTTTCTTTAAATATTCACTAATATGGTTTAATCTGATTAAAGATCACTTTTCTCTATGCTTTTACTTTATTTTCTGACATCATGCCATTATTTTTATACGCCCGTTTGAAAAACGGGACGTATTATGGGAACGCCCCTGGCGGGCGGGCGGTCGGGCGGGCGGGCGGGTGGGCGGCGTCCAATTTTGTCCGGAGCATATCTCCTACATGTATGGAGGGATTTTAATGAAACTTCATATAAATGTTCACCACTATGAGGAGCAGTGTCGCGCACATGAACCAGGTCTCTAGGTCAAAGGTCAAGGTCACACTTAGAGCTCATTGAAAAATGCTTGTCCGGAGCAAAACTTCCACATGTATAGAGGGATTTCAATATTATTTGGCACAAATGTTCACCATTGTGAGGCGGAGTGTCGCGTGCAAGATTCAGGTCCTTGCGGCCAAGGTCAAGGTCACACATAGAGGTCAAAGTTCAGATAAAAATATGAAGATGTGTATATGGACCATTTAGTTATCATTTATTGAGGGATTGTAACACAAATGGTCATTATCAAGACTATGGCTGTGATACATATAATTTAGGTCAATATATACAAGGTCAAGGTCACTAAAGATGATGAAATATCCAGATTTTGTAAATAGAATTTAATCAAAGGGAGACAACAAAGTTATTACTTTGTTCATAAATGACTTACACAATTACTCCCCTTGATCTTTTTTCACTTTCAATTCTAAAAATAGAATTTAATCAAAGGGCATGAAATAATCCTCTTTCTTGGACTTGAGTATGTTCTAAAGAATGTAACATTTATTTACACATGTTTCATTCATTGGTCAAGATTCTTAACTGTGATAACTATGGTGTTCTGTAGACTTGGTATTTGTTCATAAAGATCATACAGTAATTACCTTATCAATGTAAATACTTTCTCATAGAAATTTAATTATATTTAATTTTCAAGTAAATATCAGTTCAGCTCATTCAAAGATTAAGAATTGTAATGATATGTATTTCCCTAGAATAAAATCTTAAATCAGAATTTTCTAGTTATTAAATTACATGTACTTTTTATACGCACATTTAAAAAAAGATAAAAATATGAAGATGTGTATAGGGACAATTTAATCATCATTTATTGAGGGATTGTAACACAAATGGTCATTATAATGACTACGGATGTGACACATGTACTTTAGGTCAATATATGCAAGGTCAAGGTCACTAAAGATGGTGAAATATCCAGATTTTGTCTGGAGCATATCTCCTACATGTATGGAAGAATTTTTATAATACTTTATGGAAATGTTCACCACCATGATATGTATTGCTCCATGCATGATCCAGGTCTCCAGGTCAAAGGTCAAGGTCACACTTAGAGCTCATTGAAAAACGCTTGTCCGGAGCAAAACTTCTACATTCATAGGGGGTTTTCAATATAACTTGGCACAAATGTTCACCATTGTGAGGCTGAGTGTCGCATGCAAAATTCAGATCCCTGCGACCAAAGTCAAGGTTACACATAGAGGTCAAAGTTCAGATAAAAATTTGAAGATGGTTATAGGGACCATTTAGTCATCATTTATTGATGGATTGTAGCACAAATGGTAACTATCATGACTACAGGTGTTACACATTTAATTTAGGTTAATATTTGCAAGGTCAAGGTCACTGGAGATGATTAAATATCCAGATGTTGTCCGGAGCATATTTTCTACATGCATGGAGGAATTTTAATGTTACTTTTATAGAATTGTTCACCACCATGAGACGTAGTGCCCTGCACATAAACCAAGTCTCTAGGTCAAAGGTGAAGGTCACAGTTAGAGCTCATAGAAAAACACTTGTCTGGAGCAAAACTTCTACATGCATAGAGGGATTTCAATATAATTTGGCACAAATGTTCATCATTGTGAGGCTGAGTGCCGTGCATAAAATTCAGGTCCCTGCGACCAAGGTCAAGGTCACACATTCTGTGCATATCTTCCCTATTGATTTGTTTTAAGGTTCATTTAACAACACAGTGCCAAGAATAAAAACTTGCTTGCTAGATAACACTTATCCATAATGCCCCCATCTCCATCTAAAGCTTTTTCGTAAACGGGCGTATTTTGTGACTATGGCACCCTTGTTTTGTATGTATTTTACAAGCTAACTTTGATGTATAAGTACATGTAGATATCTATTAGTTTAAATCTTGTGTTATATGGAAGGATATTGTTTATTTCAGGGAAGTTGGTGTATGTGAGATTGAGAGATAAAGCCCAGTATTTTCCTCCTGGAAGTGGAGTAGCCATTAAACTACCTGGTATACTTAACATCTTTGTAGATAACTTTAATTATTGATTTACTGTATGAGCTGAGCTTAAAAGAAAATGTGAAATTCACTTTATTAAAGACATAGTAAACTTAACTTTATTTTAAAATTATACTCACAGAATAGCTAAAAAAATGTATTTCATAAAATGAAGAGTAATGATTTTCTAAGCGATTTGGTGTTGATTCTTTTAATGATCTTGTTTCTTTGAGACTTTGCCATATAGTGTTACAGCTCAATTATGTGTTTGTCTTTGTTTTAAAATTAACACTGCTAACAATTAGATAATTTTATAAGTGTTTAAATATTAGTTTCTTAAATATACATGTAATTCAGAGGGATTCAGATTCAAATTAGGACACAGTATTAAAATCAGAAGAGAAAAGATGAAACCACTGTCAGACTATTGCAGGAATGTTAGTTTTCTGTATCATATAATTTGTAAAATAATGTTATCTTGAACTTAATATCATTTCAGAAAATTTTACTCCTGATCAGGTGCCTGATTCAGCTAAGGAAACCTGTCGTAATTGGTTCTTTAAGATTGCCTCAATCCGTGAACTGATTCCAAGGTTTTATGTGGAGGCAGCCATCATGAAATGTTACAGTTTCCTTAATCCAGGGTTAGTGTGTACATGTATCTATCATCATCATACTGCTTCAAAATTGTTTACGATTACACTAAGCAGGTTAAACTGTATACATTGAATTAAGAGACAGCTATAAGATACAAGGGAATCCGGGAACCAATTCCTAGCTCATATTGAATAGACCCCTTGGTTCTTTTACATGCCCAGTGTATAATACTGATACATACGAGGATTACCTGGATTTCTTACCAGGACACCTAATTAGGTGGGAAACACTGAAAGTGTCTCTGAAAAATCCCAAGGTGTTAACCAGGATCGAACCCGAGACCTCAGGAGTGATGGTCAGTGGTCTAGACAACTGAGCTATGTATATATGTCTTGATTCTTTATCCTCACTAAAATCAATGTGATATAGTTTGAATTGACATTTAAAAGCCAAGTTTTTACAGGAAATATTAAAAAGCTGTCAAACATACACATTATTTAATTCTCACAAGATTTTTCTAGGTTTGCATTTTCCAGGCAAAATCAGTTTATGCTGTATTTGAGTTTTTTCAGATATAAAACAATTTAAATGTTATTTTATCTTTGATGGCAAAATACACGTAGATTTTATATGTATATTTTACAGAGAGTATGCTGATGCATTAAGACGCCTGTCTCAGATGATAAGTGGAATGGGTGATCCACTTGTATCGCTATATGCTAAATGTTTCCTCAGTAGGGTAGGTATATATGTATATGTATTTTAAGAGGTACAGGAGATAAAGCTGTGTATCTATATTATATCTAAGTTTTCTGCCTAATAACATGTGTGGCACTCGAGCTTTAATGTACAACTTTTTATTGTCTGGATTCTCAATTAAAACCAATAATAGTATTGGTTGATTATGATTAAAAGCATTATTTTTCATGTATGTGTAGAAAGAAGTGCTATATTGGTTTAAAGACAGTTCTTTGGTCACTACTGATTAGAATCTATTGTTGGAAGAAATTTTTAAATTAGACATTATTGACAAAGATTTCTCTTGCTTGAAGTAAAATACTTTAAAGTAGTGAGTTTTTCTTCTCTTGTTAATAATGATTAAAGCTAAATACAAGTGATTTTTACATTGTTTCTATAGCATTGCTCTGAATACATGTACATGTGTATTTAATTATGCACACTAAATAAAGCATTTGTAAAAGATTGCTTATTTCAAATCTTTTAAAGGGTGTTTTCGAGGTCTTACTATGAAGAAGTGGGAAAACGATACTTTAGATATTTTTAAGTTTCTTCCAGGGACTGTAATTAACAGTAAACTGTTATTTGAAATGATAGCAACTCAATACAGTTGTAGAAGTAGAATGTCTGTATTTTATTGCAGATTTAAAATGTTGCTGTGCTCAAGGAAAGTTACTGGTTTCAGATAATGTCTTATATCTTTTTACTTTGAATTGAAATAATTGTAACACAAGCCAATTGCTTTTCTGTCTTATCACATTATCACATTTAACATTTTGTAGGTTGGAATAGCAGTTGCTCCAAGCATCAAGGATCACCTGTTACCAATGTTTGATGGGTTTCTAGCCACATTCCCACAGGTAAAAATATAAAATTACTTATTGTAATCTTTATTAACTTAATATGGGATCACTCTAAACTGACATTACAACACTTTTATTGGTACATGTGACATTACAGGAAACTTTCTATCTATACATTTACAGGTAACAGAGGTTTATTTCCTTATATTTATGTTTGCTTAACAGTGAACAATTTTTAATGCCGATTGTTAAAAATCTGAAAATTCCTGTTAACATTTTATAATGAGACAAATTTGGAGTTTACCTTGAGCTATTTTGGCTTGGAACTTATTGTTTTACTATTCATGAAAGAAACTTTTTCATGAAATTAAATGAAATGTTTTAAGAATTTTCTCATATATTCTGTTTTGGGAAACACTAAAATGCACCATGATTCATTGTTGCATAAAAAGACATTTAGTGGACAATGTCCTTGTGTTGAAATAGTGAAACAAATAAGTAAACCCTATACTTTTATAAAAATATATAATTTACATGTATAACTGGCTATAACAGGTACAAGGTGACAGTGTACAGAATATTTTGGCAGTACAGAAATTAGAGATGCCACGTTACCTGACACTGTTCTCACCTGGGCTGGACTGGCTGCTACAGTGTATAGCTCATAAAGCATCGGATAACACTCTCACTGATATACTAGAGAAGTCTAGGAAACAATGTAACAGGTCAGTTATTTAATTAAACATTTTATATGAAAAAATATAGTGAAAAATACAATAATTATAGTAAATATTTCCCTAATTCCTTCAAGAGCTGCCTAAATATTCACTTCAGACATAAAATGTTTGTTCATTATCAAGGAAATATAAGTTTGCCAAAAGCTTGCAGAACTGTGCCCATTTTTCTTTAACTATACTACCCATCACTGAGTGAAGGTTGCTGTTAGTAGAAGACCGGTCTTTTAGTATACTTGACCACCATAAGTAGATGATGTGTCATGCGTAAGACCTTTGTCATTGTGTTAAAGGTCAAGGTCTGAAGTTCAGAACAGGAGGGCAATATAATAATATATTCTTAAGTGCTGTTTTTACATGCAGTTAATTTTAAAAATCCATTTCATTACTAACAGAGTCATTATTATATTTTCAGTATTTGTCATATTTTGTTCAAAGTCAATAATACATGATATGATTGTCTTTAAACTTATATACATGCATTAAAAGGTGCCAACTGAAAGTCTATGCTGTTGGGGCATCCATTTCCTATGGAATCATGTCTAGTTTTCCAATCAAGTGCTGAGAAAATGCCTTGCATTAACTGATAATAAAATTATTCTACCTTTTTGCTCTTTTTTTGAGAACAAAATGCTTTGATGGTACATGTATATATATTTTCAGTGCATTACTACTGAACTCTCTGATATCAGCATTTAAACCAGAGTATATAGCAGCTAGAGCCACCAAGTTTATTGAGATGATCAAAGAATGTGAAGAAACAGGTTTTCCTAAAGTAAGTTATATCCTTTGACAGCTTTTCATTTCCATACATATACAATTATTAGTCCCCTACCGGTTTACCGGAGGGGACTTTAGGTTTACCCTCCGTCCGTCTGTCCGTCAGTCTGTCCGTCTGTCCGTCCGTCCGTCCACAAAACTGGATCCCCCGATAACACAAAAAGTACTGAAAATATTTTAATGAAACTTGATATATGGATAGATGGCAGTATGGAGATTATGCACGTCTTTTTCTTTTCTTCCTATGTTGAAAATTCTGGTTGCTATGGCAACAAATAGACTGAAAATATGGCAAATTGTACACATTACCTGGATCCAGTGATAACACAAAAAGTACTGAAAATATGTTTATGAAACTTGACATATGGGTATATGGCAGTATGGAGATTATGCACGTCTTTTTCTTTTCTTCCTATGTTGAAAATTCTGGTTGCTATGGCAACAAATAGACTGAAAATTTGGCAAATTTTACACATAACCTGGATCCAGTGATAACACAAAAAGTACTGAAAATATGTTTATGAAACTTGACATATGGGTATATGGCAGTATGGAAATTATGCACATCCTTTTCTTATCTTCCTATGTTGAAAATTCTGGTTGCTATGGCAACAAATAGACTGAATTTCAAGATTTCTGATTCTAGTTTTTAAGTTTTTTCACTATAAGTTCTTTATTTCTTAAGGTATTTTCTTCAAACTTTAAATATAAGTTGCTTGTAATCAACCACATCATATGTGACAAGGTTTACAACTCTAGCACAAAATTTATCAGAATTACCTCCCTTGAACTTTAAATTTTCATGAAAAAACATTGTTTTTTTTTTTAATAACTTCTTTTTCTGAATGTATCTACTTCAAACTTCATATAAATGTTTCTTATTATCACTCAACATTTGTGAGTGTTCAATACTCTAGCAAGACTATTTCCAGAATTATGCCCCTTTTGAACTTAGATTTTTTTTTTGAGAAATTGGTAATTTTTACTCCAACTTCTTCAATCATGGTAGGATTTTAAAAATGTTATATTTTGATAACAGGGATGTTTAAAAAATAACTTTAGAGTGTCCTTCAGTCCGTCTGTCTGTACATAAAAACTGTTTCCTGTGATCACTTTTAAAGAACTTTTTCAACAAATTTACTTAAAATAGGAACATAAGTGAATGGCCAATGGCCCTTCAGAATGTTGCTTGGGCTCTTACCGGTAGGGGACTTATGGATTGCTTGCAATACTATGATAATTGCTTGTTACTTTGAATATTGTAAGTAAACAGAATAAAATATTCTGGAACAAAATATTGTTTCGCTATTTTTAGTAGGGTTTTATCCATAGAGCAATGATTTCGTACATGCGCTATTCACTATTAAGATAATTTACTACCATATGTATTTCATACAAGCATTTTGATATTTTTATATGTCATTTTTGCAGCAGATATACATGTATAGCTTTATACACTTTAAATGAAAGAGTCCAATATGAATGAATATAGATCAGTTATATTGTTGCCTCTTTAATCTATATGTATGATATCATTTTAGATGATGATATATGATCATCAACATTTGTTTAATACCTATTGTCTGATTTCAGCATTTATTATTCCGTACATTGGGCACATGTCTGGCAATAGCTGATCCACCAGGGGACCAGAAACTGACAGTGTTAAATGAAGTCTGGAAACCAATAACTAAACTGAAAAATCCAGCTGTAAGTATTCTATTACAAATCATCAGGTTTAAAATGAAACTATGAATTGTAGACATGAGAAGTGTATAAATTACATTGTAATATAGTTTGAACAATCAATGTTTGAGCAACCCAAGTGGAACAATATTTATTACATATGAATTTTGCTGTGAGTTCAAAGAAAGGGAGTGTTCTAGCTATCCGAGTTTGAGCAAAGTTGAACTCTTCAACTGCAAAATGGTAGTATACAGTACTACCAAAATCCTGTCTATACAAGCAAACATAGTATTTTTTCTATTTGTATCATTACATGTATATATTAGACTAGTTATTGATAAAAGTAATGATATTCTCTGTATATTAAATTTGCATTATACACATTTATTTGATAATCATTTTTATTTCTTTTACAGGATTACATGGCGTGTGCAGAGTCCTGGATGGAGTTTATTGTTAAACATTTTGGGGTAAAATCATTTTTCATTTTACAGCATAAGTTACATAAATGCCTAGCTTTGTATTTAATTCTTTATGGTACCTGTTTGATGTTATATGTATCACATTATATAACTATTGTTTTGAATATGTAATAGATATCAAATTTATACAGTAGATTTGTTTGTTTTAAAATGCTTAAATAATTAGCAAACTGATAAGACTGTGGAAAGGGCCAACTCACCAATGTTGTAAAAACTTGTGGTCCAACCCTTTTGCTTTTTATGAACAACTACAGCATCCATGTAAATACTGTAAATTTATTTGTTAATGTTTTGTCGTATGTTTGCATGTGACATTGTATCTGTTTTTATGTAGAAAGAAAGAAAAAAAACCAAAAAACCAACAAAAAAACCAACAATAAAATATGATTAAACTAAACTAACTGATATGACTTATTTTTTTCAGAAACGGGAGATAAACACAGTATTAAATGCAA